TTCTGCTAGAGTGGTCTCCGTCAGAACCCCCTGTTTATTTTTGCCCTAGCACCTTTCATAATCTGTCCTTTATTTATGTATGTGCTTACTGGTCTGCTGCCACTTTTTCCCACTGAATGTCAGTTTTGTAAGACAGGCAACCCCTTATATTTCATTTCCCATGTCCCCAGCATCTAAGTCAGTGCCTGCCATTCAGTAGGTCCTGGGTAAATGCAGGTGGATTCATTGAGGCTGAATGAATGAAGACATCTCCCTGTCGTCTAGGAATGTGTGGTGTAATAGGGTAGGGCTGATGAGGTGTGTATAGTGATGGTTACCTCTTGGAGCCAAACATGGCTGTCTCTTGGAGCAAAATGTGGGAAATGCTGTAAGTGTTCAAATATCATGGAGATGCAGAAGTGGGAACCAGTGACTGGCTACAGTGTCACGAAAGGCTTCGTCTGAGCTGAGCCTTGGGAGACTGGCAGTGTTTTGCAGCTGGTGATGATGGAAAGAATCCAAGGGGCTGAGGAAAGCTGGTGAGCAGAGGCCCAGAGGCAAAATGGTGGGGGCAGGCCTGGGGATTGCTTTAAATCCTATGTTGACTCATGGACTTGGACCCCTGAGCAGCAGGGAAGCATTGCATGTTCCTCATCAGAGGGTGACATGGTGAGTGAGGATATGGAAGTGCTTTTTAAACTTAATTCTAGGTACACATGGCAATGTTAAGGGTGATCAGGCTGTGCTTTGGGAAGCATGAGGACAACTAAGTAAGAGGCACAGGAAGTTCAGGCCAGAGGATGAGCCTGAAGGAGTTGGGGTGATGGGGCTGGAGATGAGGAGAAGGCAGAGGAGTGTTCTGGAGGTGAGGAAGGAGAGTGGGACCCACGATGACACTGAACCGGAGAGTTTTAGTTTGAATGCCTGATGGGAAGATGAGACATGGAGCCCTAGAAGAGCTGTTTGGAAGTAAGAACACTTATGAATTTAGTTTTGACCCATCCCTTTACTGAATTAGTGAGCCTCTTCCAGATTAAACCAGCCCATGTGCCCTCCTTTGTCCTGAAGGGGCTTGGGTAACAAGAAGATAGAAAAGAGGAGACAGAAGTATATACCACAGGATGGGGGCTCGGGCTCCCATGGCCTCTTCCTCCTTTGTAAGAAGAGGACTGCATTTGTGGAAAGGGGAAATGAGGCTCCAACTCCTTTCCAGGAGACGAGATGTTTCCTGGAAATGTCTGTTCCCAGGCCCCCATTGGGAATGATTTGCCACCAGCCTTGTCGTTGAGTAAATTTGTTCATGTTGTTAGCCTGAGGCAGATGGGGGCGGATGGGTGTTTACTGTGGAGTACATGAACATGTGGGCTCAGGGCACAAATGGGAAGAGGCCCAGAACTGGGTGACACATCATATTTCCCCCACAAACATTCAAAAATGTTGTGTGCTTTTCTTAGGGAAAAAAATCAAAGGGAAAGTACTCAAGACATATTATAATTCTGATTGTTGTCTAAATTGAAAAAGGTTTTTTGTTTTGTTTTTGTTTGTTTGTTTTTTGGGACAGAGTCTCGCTCTGTTGCCCAGGCTAGAGTACAGTGGCACGATCTCTGCTCACTGCAACCTCTGCCTCCTGGGCTCAAGTGATTCTCCCGCCTTAGCCTCCCAAGTAGCTGGGACCACAGGTGCCCACTACCACAACTGGCTAATTTTTGTATTTTTAGTAGAGACGGGGTTTTGCCATGTTGGCCAGGCTGGTCTCGAACTCCTTGCCTCAGGTGATCCACCCACCTCAGCCTCCCAAAGTGCTGGGATTACAGGCATGAGCCACCATGCCCAGCCGTGTTATCTTACTTAAGCTTTACAGCAACCCTAGGAAGGAGGTTATTATTATACTCATTTTACAAATGAAGTGACTGAGGCCCAGAGAAATTAAGTTACTATCTCAAGGTCATACAGTAAGTGGCAGAGATTAACTTGAACTCAGATATGTCCAACTCTAAGCTGTTACATTATAATACATGAGCTTAAGAAAAGAAACCTCTTCTTGAAAGTGTGAGAAGATATATTAATGTCTGGCTAAGTGAAGTAAGATGAAAGAAAAGCAAGGGACCAGGTCTCCCTGCAGGGAAGAAACAGACCATAAGGAAGATCAACCCAGCTGGACTTGAAATAGCTTCCAGGGAAGTACCTGAGCAGTTTCTAAACATTTTAAAATGTAATCTAAAACGACAGTATACTTACATTGTTCAAAAGTCAGAATGTAAAATATATAGAGTGGAAAAGCTCTTTCTCATCTTTGCCACCCACTGCAGTTCTGACCCTCGACCCTTGCCCTTGCTTCCAAGAGACAACTTGGCCTCCCAAAGTGCTGGGATTATAGGCATGAGCCACTGCGTCCAGCCTGGAAAAGTTTTTGAAACTTATTTTTCAAAACAAAAATTTGGTTTGAAAATACCCACATGGGTAAAACTACATAATGAGAAAGCTCTCTGTCCTCTAGAGAGGGAGTGGAGATGAGAAGTGCTTGGCTAGCATTCTCTGGAATGTTGTCTTTTCAAGAAACCACCTTCTGCTACCTTAAAAACAAAAGGAGGTTTAACAGAATGCAAATGGAAGTGAAAATGGGAGAGGCACAGATGAGAAGCCAGCAGAACCTGGTGAGTAAGTGACCACCCAAACCAAGGGAGGAATCAGTGATGACCGAGTGACAAGGTTGTGAAGGGAGCCAGAGAGGTTAAAACAGAGAGAAAAAAATAACTGGTTGGTGATGGAGGGAGGATGAGAAATTTAACTTGGGAAATATCATATGTTGCCTTATTAACCAGAATTTCTAGAAATTTACAGAGAAATTTACCTTACAATTGGATAGTTTTTCTTGGCAAATTGAGAGTTTAATTAGTTTAGTATTTTATTACTAGGGATCATGTTCAGTTTTACATGAGGTTTTGCGATGGAAGAATGCTATAAAATGTCAGGACTCTGTTTATATTCAGTTCAGTAGAGAATAAACCACATTCAAGTGCCAGCATGTTTATTGCAGCCAGCACTCGGTGTTTCTTTGCTTTCTAAATGCTGATTTAGTGTTTTCATTGGTGGTGCAAGTGTGAAGAGAGACTTGAGCATGAATCATAGGAAGAGAGACGTAGATGCTCATTCTGCAGGCCTAGGACCCAGTGAGTGCCGCAGCTGTGCTGCTCACGGCTAGTGGTGGGATTCTGGGCATGCCTTTCAGCCTCCTTGGATGGCCTTGTTTTCCTCACTTGTGAAATGAGGTTAGATCGTATTGGCGGTCTTACCAACACCCAAGTTATCTGATGCTAAGAGAAATTAGAGGACAATCTTCTTTTTTTGCTTCTAACAATAACATTTTTAACAATTTATACTTAAAACATAGAAACAAGTACTACATGATAGAAAGGCCTACCTTCCCACACTTACCTTTTGTGCAGCCCATTTGGGTGGGTAACCTGAATGGCAGCTGTGATGATGACAGACCTGAGCAGTCTCTGCCCCAGTGCTGGCCCTCAGCAGCAGCTGTTCACACTGCTTAACTCATCACTCTACCTGGCCTCAGGAGGTCTTTTGCCTTTCTATTAAATAGAAACGTGTTCTTTCTGTTTTCCATACAGTTTACTTTTTGTGCTTTCTGTCTGGTGAATCATGGATGCTTTTGCGATATGATATGAAGAGAAAAAAGCCAGCAGACATAGGCTCATATCCCAGCATTCTGCTGAACAGATACGTTAACTTTATGGAGCTGGGTTTCCGCATCTGTAATCCAAGGATAATGATGCCCACCTCCCAGGGTTTTGGCGAGAACTGAGTGGACCACAGGGAGAGCACCATGCACACTGTGGACATCTCCAGGTGCTTAGCAGCAGGATTTCCCCAGCCTTGTCTAGACATGGACCATGCAAGGCCATGTCTAGACAAGGCTGGGGAAATCCTGTGCCATGCAAGGCCTCCTTTATGTGAGAAGTGAGTCTGACCATCCGCTGTCTCTGTTAGAACATCTGGAAAATGCTCCTGAGCATATTGTTTATCTCAGTCACCGAGTCTCCTGGAATAATTCTTTCTCAGCCTGCCTTCCTCCCTGCTTCACCAATGACTCTTTCCTCTTTGAAGAAGAGGAGAGAGACAAAGAAGAGTAAGTTAAATAGAGGAGGGGGAAGCTCTGATTAGCACCATGGTTTAGGGAGGCCATTGAAAGAGTTAGCATGGGTGGGATTCAGCATATGGAGGAGGGTACAGAGAGGACTGATGGGAAGAGAGAAAGGTTGAACAGAAAGAAAATGAAATTAATCTTGGCAGCCATGGCATTAAGCACTAGGGATTAGGGAATGTCCTGGGAATGCCAAAGCATAAAGGCCAAGGTGTTTTGTAGACATTTCCAGTTCTGTCTGAAGCTGTAGAATTAGATAAAATAAACAAATGAAAGTGTCTTTTTTTTTTTTGCAGACACAAATGTCATCACTGTTTTGATGATTTGTTGAATGTGCTGCTGATAAGGATGTGGGTAGCTATAAAGGAAACATTTTTCTTGGGGTATGTGACAAGCAGTGGATGAAACTAGGCCAGCGAGAGCATGTGTGTCTAGAGATTGTTCTGGGAGGGTAGGGGTTAGGCCTCATGGCCTCTCCTCTCAGCCCTGCCCTATTGTGCAGGGTCCTGTTGAATATGCTGCTTAACCTCTGCTCTGACACTCACTTTGGAAACTGGGATTGCCACCCACTTTCGCTGGGTGTGGGGAGAGTGAAATGATGTAAGTGATAGTCTCTTGCTCTGAGATGCTGAGATAATGTGGAGCACACACGCACGGAAGAGAAGGATCTGATTTTCTCATGGCCGCCATCATGTGTTTGCAGAGAGATAGAGAAGTACCAGATAAGATGGCCGCAGACTTCCCTAATGACAGCTTATTTGCTGTTATTGTGACACTCCAGAGTGCCTCCATGACTGGCAGTGCCAGTTGCACTCTCAGGGGCTGGGGGTTAGGGGTTGGGGTACAGATTACCCCTGTGCTTCTGCTGCAGAGCTGTGCTCACCAAGAAAGAGGCCAAGAGCCACCTATATTCCTGACCACAAACTGCTTTCACAAAGCTGGGTCTGGACAGATTCTTCAGCCACTAGGCCACCAGGCAGGGCTCCTAGGGCTGGAAGTTCTGGCTGCCTGCTCTCTCCTCCTTGCTTTGAAGCATGGGTGATGCATTCACATTGGGCGACCATCACAATGTTGATCCCTGAACCTACCTAGAGTGTCTTAATTCACAAGTCCTATGGAAGCATGGAAGTGCTGTGCGCAGTCATATCTACAAAGAGATATTAGCTTTTTTTTTTTTTTATTCTGTAAGGTTTGACTGCTTCACAAATACTTACTTGAGAACCTCCCTGCTCTGTAGCCTATGTCTGTGACTCTTCTTTCTTCCCAAATATAGTAGGATAAGCAGGATGCTAACTGCTGGGACTGGTTTAAACAGCACACTTTGAATAGATCGGGCGACATCCTGGGCACTCTAGTCTCAAGTGAGAGAAAAGGATGTCTTAGGGAAATGCCTGTGCAGATGCTTTGCTTTTTGTTCTCCTGTTTTTGGAGAGCTCTCTCCAAAACCAGGAGTTTCCTGCTGGGTGTAGTGGTGCCCACTGGATACATGAGGCTCCCATGTGCAGCCTCCTCTGCCCTTGCCTCGTGTTGGCACCTTGCTGGTGCCTCCCCGACTGGGCCTAGAGCATGTGTAAGGATGGCAGTTGTTTTCACGTAGGACTGCAGGATTCTTCCTCCAGCCTTCTCTTCCTGCAGCCTCACTGCACTGCCCCATCCTCCCCCAGCAGAACTGGAAAGAGTGGTTTCTGGTGACCACCTAGCCATGCGGCCACGACTGAGGTCACATTTTAGGGAAATGTGAGAGGCCTGTTCCTCTGTTTAGATGCAGTATTTCTGCTCTTTGTAACTTACCCTTGGAATTGCCAGTGAGTCACAGCCTGGGAAGTCCTTGTGATTTAGAGTCCTGCACTTCCAGGAAGAGCTTTCGCTTGACATCTTCTTTGACCCTTAGTCCCCGATGAAGTTTACATGGCGTGAAAGACCAGTCAGAATTTGGGGAGATAACCCAAAAGAACACAAAAATATGGTTTCTAAGGTATAAGTGTCATATCGCTCTGAGTGAGTCACATGATAATGTAGGCCAAAGACAATAAGAAATGTAGAGATATGTTTGTAAACTGGTGTTGATTTGGTATCTCTTTTGGCCTCCTTCCCAACTTAGTATTGGGCATTTGATTTTAATTTAGGTCAGTAATAATGCTCATTACTGCTTGAGAACTCTATGTGCATCAGGCAATATGTTAATTTGCTTCACGTGGTTCTCTTTATATCTTAATAGCAATTCTGTGAATTTGATGATGTTATTCTCATCTTAAGAAGTGCAAAATTGATTGCTCAGGGGTGTTAAATAACTTGCACATCTACATAACCAGAAAGTGGCATAAAGAGACTGTGAACCAGGCCTTGGAGAGTTTGTCTATCTTCCACTTTTTTTTGCCAGGTGCCTGGTACATTCAAGGCAGAGTGTTATTGTTACAGAGTATAAAAATAAAATCAAGAAGCTTACCATATAGAGAGAGTAAGACAGATAAACAACCAAAGATAATATAAGGACAGCTGTGATAGATACCAAAAGTGTTACCAAGAAAGGTCAACCAAGGTGCAGTAGGGGCTAAAGGAAGAGGTTGAGATCATACATACCTAATTGGGGTCACCCAGGAAAAGCCTTCTTAGAAGTGGTGCACTTGAGGTGGATCTCATAGAACTGGCAGAATCTTACTTGGGGGAGTGGATAAGGAAAGATTTGTGGGTGGCAGTGACTGCTAAATGCCCAGGTAAATAAACAGGCTCCTAAAGAAACTATTAGATTGTGTATATGCATGTATGTGTGTGTGTATGTGTATGTGTATGTGTACGTGTGTATTGTGTATGCCTGGATACACTCATGCTTACATTCATTATGAAAACCTTATATACTCTTCCAAAGCAAAAGACTAATGATTTCAAGTAGCAGCGTTGTCCAAACTGTGTTCTCTAGTTCTCCTGAGAATGGAAACACCTCTGAGCAATACGTATTATTAATAGATGTTCATGTTTATACAGGTAGGAATGAGGTGTTTTTTTAATTTTCTTTTTTTCAGGCATCTGCGAATGGGGCCTCTCCCTGTTTTTTTTAGTTTTTTTTTTTTTTTTCAAAGTATCTGTTTCTTTTTTCTAGCATGTTGAAACATTAGACTTCCTGTTTCTGCTTGATTTTGAATATACTCCTGTTTGCTTGTCACAGGTAATCTTGCATTTCTAGGTAGTTGTAGTTTACAGGGAGCAAGTGCAGGCAGCAACCAGTCCATCCCTGTTGTGAATGTGGAGATCTCTCTGGACTCACAATTAAAGGCTACATAGTGCATTCCACTACAAGTGACGAAACCTGGCTCCCAGAATAACAAGCAAGACAACTTACAAAGTGACTGTTGACTAGCGCCTTCTGTGCGTTTATGTAGTAAACTTATGGTACATTTTTCAAAAGGATAGTATATCCTTTTCTTGAGAAGGACTGAGTCTCCCCGAAGGTGATGCAGGTGCCGTAGTGTACACGTCAACAGGGTGGTTGCGTGCATTCCTCAAGTCTGTATGACTACCAAGATACTGTGAAGTTGTCCTTCTGATTGTATACGGGCAGAAAATGCTGAAACTAGGTGAGTTAAAACGGCCCTCAGAATATGTTTAGATGTGATGTCTTTGTTGAAATCTGATAAAATGTTCAGATGACTAACATGGTATTGCTTTCTTCAAGGAAATAATGTTTGGTCGTGGCTTTAGAGCTACTGTGTTCAACAAATCACTATTTTGTTTTGCTGTGGCTCTGAGTTTGAGGAACCAGTGTTAAGCTGAGGGAGGTATGAGTACTGTGGGTGGAAAAATGACATTTCAAGTTTACATGTAGCAGTTTCATTTGTAAAAGATAAAGGTTTGAAATGTTTCAGAGATGGGACTCTGAAAAGATTGGATGGCTTTTTCACCCAGAGTTTCTCTTTTACATTTTCCATGCATTTATTAACTGTAGGACACCTCTGGTTCCCAGTGGTCTGGTAGCAGTGGTAACACCGTGGGGCAACCCGTAAACACAAGGGTGTTTATTTCTATTATCTCATTGGATAATTGTTTGAATATTGCTGTTACCATTTTCTCTTAACAACCAAAAAAAAAAAAAAACTTACCTTACATATAAAGCATTTTGTACTTTTAAAATAACACCCTAGGTTTGTTTTTAGCCATACTTAATGTTTCACAAGTAGACTTAATTTTATTTTTAAAGTAAATTGAAAAAGTTATCAAGGATTGGAATAGAGTGTTTTAAATAGCCCTTAAAGTTATATTGGCATATATACACTTTTGTTCAAGTTGATGTATAATATTTGCTTAGGTTTACTTAAAATTGGTCTGCTCAACAGATTTTTTGGAGCTTAAATTTAATACTAGGAAAAAACTAGAACTTGGAAGACATAGGAGGGTGTTGGTATATCTAGTCTTTTGATCCATTATTGAACCCTTGGCAGCCAATAAATATAATTTCATAGAGTCCTGACTTCTCTTGTATAGAATGTGGTCACCTGCATATCATTTATAGTAAATGTACGTTCGTCTACTAGATGCCTAGAGCTGTGCATGTAATCCTGTCGTGTGTGTGTGTGTGTCTGTGTGTGTTTGTGTATGTATACTCGAGAGTCTGAGGCAGGAGAATCGCTTGAACCCAGGAGGCGGAGATTTCAGTGAGCTGAGAATTGTGCCACTGCACTCCAGCCTGGCGACAGAGTGAGACTCCGTCTCAAAAAAAAAAAAAAAAAAAAATGGTTATGTGTCTGTGACTGTATGTCATTGCATATATACAGTTGAGATCAGAGCCAGCTTTGCTTGGGAGGGTTTTGTGGAAGAAATGAGTTTTGGGTAGAGTTCCAAAGGGAGGGTAGGTAGCGTGCTTTGGCAGAAAGACGTGTACATAAAGCTTCCAAGACTGGAGTGAGTAAGTCATAAGCATTCAAGGGTAAGCATGAACCATTTGAGAACCAACTGTAAATTAGTGGTTGAAAATAGCCAGGCTAGAAGTGAAGGGGAGGCAAGGTTGTGCATGCCGAGCTGAGAACCGTAGTGGCAGATTGGCGCGTAGGAGCTTGTCTATTCTGTTCCTGGTAAATTTCACTCTTGGATATTAGCACATCCTGACCATGTTGCCATCTAGTGGAACTGGCTGAATTGGCTGTGGGAGCATCACCACCTTTTCCCACTTCAGGATAAACTCTAGTGTGATATTTTGGCAATAGGGAAACTTACTTCTCTTTTACCTAGGGATTTTAAATGAAGAGTGAGAGAGAGGAGGTGGGTGTAACTATGCTCTCCCCGGATGACATTAATTTAGATTCTGGAAATGTGGAGCTGAATGCTAATATAAGGAATTTCTCATAGACAATGTCTGGAGTCCAGGGTATGACTGCTGAGAGTGCTGGGTGTACATGTCCATCAGCTTAAGGCATGGAGCGAGCAGGAAGCGGTGCTTGGGAGGTTCTGCAGTGGAGTGAAAGCATACCGCATCTGGCTCTAGGCCCTTTATGTTTCACCTGGGCCGGCTTGTTTTTGTCATGTGGTTACAGAGTCCATCCCAGTGGCAGAGAGAGCCCTCTGACCATAAGCACGACAGCCCACAGACCCCAGAGTGAAGACACTATAAAGGTCTGTAATCCTTCTGCCCTCCCTTCTAGCCATCCATGGACGTATCTATTCAGCAAATACTTCTTGAATTATGTCCCAGGCACCTTCCAGGTACTAAGGCAGTGAACAAAGCAGATAGAAATCCCTGCTCTTGGAGAGCTGATATTCTAGGTGGGGACAATAAACATCAACAAAATAAATAAGTAAAATATATAGTAAGTGGAGAACCAAGTGCTAAGTAGAAAAAAGTATTTTCAAGCTGAAGAGGGAAATAGGGGTTGTTGCAGCGGGTGAGGGGGTAGAGGCAGGTAATTGTGGTTGCAATTGTGAATGAATCCTCACGGAGAATGTGATTAATATTAGATTCACCTGAGAAGTGTGAGGAAGCCAGATGTGAATATCCTGGGGGAAGAACTTTCCAGACAGAGGACAAGCGACCGCAAAGGCCCTAAGGTGAGAATGGGCCTGATGTGTTCCAGAAACAGTACAGAAGCTTAAGGGAAGGAGAGAGATGAGTCAGAGAGGTGGTGAGGGGCTAGATATTGGGGCTTTGTGGACAGTTACAATGAATTTGACTTGCACTGGGCATGAGATGAGAAACCATTTGATTTAGTCCAGTCTTCTCATTTACAAATGCAACGTAGGCCAAAGAAATCAAGGCAGGTATCCGTGATCATCCAGCCTCATGGTGCAAGAGCTGGGATGAAAACCTGCCTCCTGCCTCTGGCACTCTTCTGGCCACCCTGCCTGCCCTGGGGATACATAGCCACGTGCAGGTGCAGACTTCCAAGTGCAGTGGTCTGAGAGGAAGAAAAGTGCTGTGGGCTCCTCCAGCAGCTGTATTTCAACATGGTTCATCTTGGTTGTTCCCCTGCTGTGTCCCTATCTACCTATAGAGGCCTCATAGCAAACACAGAAAGGCTCAGACCTCTTATTTCAGAGGAATACTCTGCCGAATATTGCCTTCCTTTGTTTTGCTATGGAGATAAATCCTTCAGATTTTCCCAATGTCCATTAGCTGTGCAGTCTCATAAGGCCTCCCCTATTTCTTATTTGCATTCATTTTTAAGCTATTTGGATATAATAAACATAAAATAAAATTTCTACAGTCCTAAGAAGTTTGGTCACCATTCTCAGTATTACCCCCTCACCCTGAAAGTTAGTAAGACTGAATATTAAGTGGTATTTAAAATTAATTTGAAAACAGGATTAGTAGCTGAGGAGAGAATGTGAACTCGCCACCAAATACAGCTTAACCTGGACTATTTTGGCCCAATACTCATTGTCTTCTTGTTTTACTTTGAACAAGCTCAAGCCCTTTTTTCCCCTTCTATCTCCTTTAGATCTTATGACCACTGTCCTCTGGACACAGGCCAAATCCTCTAATATCACTTTATGATGAAGGTCAGACCAGTGCTAAGTATAGAAGAAAATGACTTTGTGTTGTCATGTGCATTGTCTCCTCTTTTTTAATCGTCTCCTAGCCTGTATCCAGTGGACAAAGTGACATGAAATAATTTGCTTGTGGAGAGAACTCATCCTGAATTCTCTTGCCTCATTCTTACCCTTCCTCTTATAGCAGAGCTCCCAGTCTAGACTATATGAGATTTACCTTATCATCATAGCTTGCACTCACATTTGGTTTTATAACACTATTTCTTTTTCCCAACCAAGGTGATTTCATGTTTATTTGTATATGTTGCCTATAAATGAGCTTGACATCCCACCAGCTTGAGCCATTAGGGTTAGCATTGATTTGCATCCTTTGGTATCATTTCTCCTTTCAGTAAAATTGCCTGTCACTAGAACCTGAGGGCATAAAAGACCACAGAGGTCTTTTGGTTTCTATTTTTAGGAGAGTGGTGCTCCTCGGGGAGCTATCTGAGCTGGATTTGATGAGAAGCTAAGAATGAGTGCTTGCTGGAGGTAATTTCGTTATCAAAACTCAGGGTCATGTGCTTGGGAGTTAGCAGCCAGAAAAAAAATAAAAATAAAAAATGTCAAAGCTAATAGGACAGCAAAGCACATGCAGAAATGCAGATATGAATGGGGGACTGCCATGAGCAGTAAGCCATAACAAAGCTTGACAAGAAACATTTCTGCAGTTCCTGTTTACCATCTGAACTGGAGCATTGCAGCATTTGCTGCATGCGGGAGATGGAGAAGGAGAGTGCTCAAAGTTGCCACCAAAGAAAGCCTCATTAACACCCTAACTGATTTCCCCAGCTTCCAGAAAGTCTTTCTGTTGGAATTCAGCATCTCAGCTGTAAGACTGCCGAGTGGAAGTACAGAAATGCGATTTGCTGTCTGCGGAGCCGCAAGTGGACTTTGAGCATATTCTAAGACAAAAATCTGGCCAGACCTTAATAGGCCAGGGCTTTCCACTGATTTGCCCCTCTCCTGCTAACTGCTGAATAATGTTCTTCCCCTTCACCGCATGTGCCCCTGAGCGCCTCACCACACCTTCAGCTCCTGGGAGAGACCCCAGGGCAGACCTGACCTCCTCATTCCTGGCTCCTTATTCCAGATTGGAATCTGGAGCTTTGACACACACACGCCTTCTCAGCACCTTGTCCCACCCTACAAGTCTTGTCCTTTTTGCTCCTGTCAGGCAGGCAGCCACCCCCAATATGACAAAGATATTCTCACATGGGGTTTATCAGGAAGCGCCATCAGGGAGGGTGGGGCAGCACCAAGCTATGAGTCAGGGAGGAAGATCAGGGACCCAGTTCCTGCCTTACAGACCCTCTACCCCATCTGTGCCTCTGTGGTGTCTTAGCATCCACCCACTTTTCCCCAGCCTTGGGACTCTGCGCTCTGCTATCACTGTCACCGGACAGGCCAGACATGGCCCTGCTGGAGAGGAGGCTTTCGGGCTACCCTCTGGCCTTTGTTGGACAGCAGGCTTGAGGAAATGGGCAAAAGCATTGATCAGCTGTGCATCCTTGGGCTCCTTCACCCACTGTCCTTCAGGTGTTGGGAATGTTGTAAAGCCAGCAGCAAGATTAGATTTTTTCATGCACTATTCCTCCTTAGCTGCCCAGGATATTAGATCTATTGTGGCTTTTACTGTACAAGAAAGAGAAACCCCAGGTTAGACTTGTTCATACAAAAGGTATTTTTTTGTTGGCTCACATAACTGGAACAAAGTTTTGATTTAGCAGTTCAGTGAAGTCAAGAACCTATTTTCTAGCTTGGGCAACATCGTGAGACTGAGACTCTCTATCTACAAAAAATAAAAAAGAATTAGCCTGGCATGGTGGTGTGTACCTGTAGTCTCAGCTACTCAGGAAGCTTAGGCAGGAGGATGTCTTGAGCCCAGGAATTTGAGGCTGCACTGAGCTATGATTGTGTCACTGCACTTCAGCCTGGACAATAGAGCAAGACCCTGTCCCTTAAAACAAAAAAAAAAGGCCCCATGTTTCTGCCTTCCGTGATTGAGCTTCATCCTGAATTGCCTTCTCTGATGTTGATAAAAGTCTACAGCAATTCTAGACTTCATATCCACCACACACTGCCCAGAAGGAGAGAGAGAACTGGCTTCTTGTGGTCGTGTCAGAGAAGCAAGCGACTTTTTCCAAAAGCCCCCAACAAATTTCTGATGTCTCAATGACCAGTTTATTGGCTATGGCATCTGCTGTGATGATTGGCTTAGGCTTGCGTTGCCTAAACCCGTAACTCTGTGGCAAGGGGGTATGGGATTTCTGTGATTTATTTAAAATGATCAGGATTGCTACCCAGGGAGAGAGAAATGGACATGATGTTGGGTCAGCCACGATGTCTACTACACAGGTCTCCTCTTACGGCGTTTTTTTGTTTGTTTGTTTTGTTTTGTTTTTTACTGAGTTTCTCTAATTTGGTAACTGGCTATGATATGTAGTAAATGGGGCCCAGTGTATGGGATTGCCAACCCCTGATGACAAATGTCAGATGCTATCAGGGAGAGAAGAACACAGATTTTGTGAACCATAGTAGCACTACAGATCACAAAGGGATTCTCAGAGGTCAATAAAGCATCACCAGGGTACTAGTAGGTCTGGTAAGTTGAACAATGAGAGTAAGAAGTAGAGAAAATTAATTATAGACAGCTCTTCAATCTATGGTAATTATATGCTCTGATAAAACACTGAAGTCCAATATAATTTTTGTTTAAAAACGGTTTAATAAGGCCATATGTTTCTGCAAAGAATGGCCTTAACATCTCATAGCTATGACCTTAATCACCACATTTGATTAATTATTTTATCTATTTTAATGGAAATAAATGGGCTGTGGATAATGTAAAGCTTTGGAAGCTGCACACAAGTAAATGAAATGGGGCAGTCAGTCATAGAGAGTTTCATTTAGTTTTCTCTAGATGAGTCCTCCAGGAGGATGGCTGTCTGGAGCAGGGGAAGGGGCTGGGGCAACATTCAGAAGGCTGGTGAAAACGAAAGTCACAGTGACACAAGAAAATACCACCTTGTGGTAAGTCAGTTGGAGCAGAAGAGGTAGCTGTTTATCTTTTAGATGAAATCTGTGGCTGGAGTATAGGATTCCAAACTCCAGAGCATTGTCCCTAGCCAGCCAGTCTTCCCCACCACATGAAATATATGGAAATCTATGCACAGGGGGCCAGCCAGAGCAGAGGAACCCTTTATTACCAGGGGGCTTTCACCCAAACCCTAACAGGAACTTGAGTGAGCTAGACTGCCCATGTGGGTCACAGAAATTCGATTCAGGAACATTGGGCTAGGCTGCAGAGGACCACTGTGCCCGAAGGCATGCCCTGCTCCCAGGAGGCTGGTTGCAGAAAGGAGCCCTGAGCTCCTGAGGCCACCATGGAGGTCCTGGAGATTTAATTCTATTAATAGTTCCTCTTAGGGTACTCATCATATGAACTTGCTGGGGCTATTTTCTCATTTGTGAACAAGTTTGAGGAACGGGGAGATTGAATAAGATAACCTCAAAACCTTCCTTTGAGCATTAGCTTTCTGATTCTTGTGTTCTGGGTAGGGTGTGGCAGGAAATGTCATGGAGACCTGAGGCGGGGGTAGGAGTGTGGACTTTGGTCCTCCGTATCCGGACATATGAACAGACAAGTGATGGCACACGTTCTGTGGTATGTGCTGCAGATGTCTTAAATAGCCACCAAGTGGCTGGACTGGCTGAGTGGCGGTTTGAATTGCTCCAAGTTGAGTATTTTTATTTGAATACCACAGATAGTGCATTTATGGCCTCAGTTCACCGAATAGAGGGATCGTTTCCTTTGCCAAGCCAGAATTGGATACTGGCCCCCAAGCTTGTGTTCTGGGACATCCAGATGTCGGGGTACTGTGGAAGTGGTGCACATGAAGGAAGCTCAGTGACTCCTGGCAGGTACTTCTGTTGTAAGGTGGTTTCAAAGCTATAGACACATTTTATTCAGGGCTGGTGAGCTTCACTGGTGTTTTTGGTCTCCTGCTTTTTTTTTTTTTTTTTTTTTTTTTTAAGCTGATTACAGTGGTGTTGCACACTGTTGTGGTTTATTGTTTTTTAGTGATCCTGTTGCTCAATAACCCTCCAGCGCTCTGCTCTGAAACAGTTAGCACCAGAACTCCACATAAGCAAGAGGTCGATTATTTGTTTTTAATGTTAGTCTATATAAGTCAATGGTCCCAAACTCAAATGTCTACAGGAACCAGGCAAGTAATATGAATGTGTAAATAGTGCTCTATGTGAACAATCTCAGGTCGTGAGACCTGTGGTAAATTTAGAAACAACAGGTCTCATCTAAAGGCACTGAAGTTCAGTTGAAAAACTTAAACAAACAGACAAACAAATTACATGAGCTGGATTCAGTCCCAAGGCTACCAGCTTACGATCCTTGGGCTATGAGCCAACTGACTTCAGCTATCACTGCTATGTTTGCTCAGTCTCAGAGATACTGTATTTATGGATGTGAGCCTTTTATAATTTCATTTATAGAATTGATTTCAGCTTTTACCTTAGATGAGAAGACTGGCTATCTGTGGGATAAGAGTGCCACCAAAATTTTCACCCACAGATTGGAAGCACATCAAAAGAAATCATATCTTCATGGAAGTCATTTTTTTTTTTTTTTTTTTTTTGGTTCCTGGCCTTTAGAGGCAGAATCTGTTTAGAGAAGTAGAGATGGAAGTCTCAATCAAAACAGTTCTGAGGATTTTAAATCATTTAAAAAAATTTGCATCACTGAAGATAAGGAACCCTAAGCATTTGAAACTCTCACTTCTGCTTTGCAAGTTGTCTACTGGGTATATTCAGTCCTCTTTGTCTTCTTGGTCTTAGGCAGGCATGGGGTTAGTGGCCAGGGCAGAACTGGGAATGGGACCAGTTTGTGTTCATTCTCCTCCCAATCCTTCTAACAGCCTTAATTTCTGTATCTCTGTTTCCTATCTGGGGTG